ATCAAACTAAAATATCTAAAAAATATATTCTAAGTTGGTTGATTTTGTAATAGTAATTTGTACAAAAAAATTTATAACTTTTAGAGGTATTTTGTCAAAAATATAAAAAATTGTTAATTATAGAAAATAAGCAATTCTTTGAAGAAATAAATAAACAACAAAATTTTTAGAACAAAATAAATGACATTAAAAAATTTTTAATGTCTTAATTTTAAATTAGGAAATTCACAAAAAGGAAGAAATTGATGCCCTTAAATTGGTTGATTTTGATTTTTTTCTTGTCAATATGTTTAAAAATTTACATTAATGTCGAAAAGATTTTTGCTAAATAAACTAGGAATTTGGTAAATATATATAAAATGAATTTTTTGAAGTTCTGAGGGTGAAAAAAAAATTAATTGGTTAAATTTCAGATATCGACAAGCAAATAAAAATATTTTAAGTTCGAAATAGAGAAAATTACTAAATTAAGAATATTTAAAATATTGATTTATAGCAACCTCATATTTTTCTATCAAAGTGTATTTTACTTCTTATATTTTTAAAAATGTGTAATATGATATTATTTACTTTCATAAAAATTATAAAATATTAGATTTCAGAAAAAAATAATAAAGAACTGTGATAAATAAAAATTAATTTTTAAAAAGCCTAATATAATAACGAATTAAACTTGATAAATTGTAATATATTAAATTTAATTATTAAATTTTTAAAATATATTATTTTTTCCAGTTATCATCGTAATTATAGATTAAAAAAAATTGAGTCAGTTAATTACTAAACAAAGAAATAATTCGAATTCAAAGTCTAAAATAATTGAGATAAAATCATTCAAGAACTAAATGGATTTTTAACCATGAAACAAATTTTTTTATATTTAATGATATTCCCTTTTTCCGATTATAGAACAGTGTTTAAAAATGATTTATACTAAAAAATTCTCAGTATTTTGTCCAAAATTAGTCAAAAAAAAGAAAAATTTACATATCACCAAACTAATTTTTTCGTCGTGTGTCACATATTTATTTTTAATTTAATTATTTAAAGCTTTCCGACAAAGCTATTATTTCCGAATTATTTAATAATAAGTTAGGCAAAAAGTTTCGAACAATTTATAAAAAAATATTATTGTAATAAAAATGACGTGGCATTTTCACGATAATAAAATATAATTTAATTATGAAAATAAAACTGTGTTAATAAAATATAAATACTACAGTATACCTACTAATTTTCAAGTGAATATTCTTTGGTCATTTTTTGGATCAAAATATTTTTTTAAATTGTTCAAATCTTTTTGCCTTGCATATATTATAAAATCAAAACCCAAATGCATATCAAAAGCTTCAAACATTCAACTACTTCAATGTATTTTTATCATTATGATATGAACGATATAAAATACTTTTAAAAGTGTATGATACAATATATAATGCATCTTAAATACACCTCTTAATATTAACAATCTTATTTATTTATAATTATATCTTATTAGCATATATGTATATATTTTATCGTTATTATATATTGAATTATATGTACAAGTTATTGGCATACTTTTAAAATGCTATATTTTTTACAAGACATTTGGCACAATATAATAATATCTATAGTAGGTAATTTTTAATATTAATATAATTATGAGGGATAATTATATTAATATTAAATGGCATTAGGACTATGTTTAATGTATTATTGGAATATACACGTATGGCAAAAATAATAATTTTATACCAAAAAATAAAGTTATATGTTAGTAAGATAAACCATTCGTGGTCAGTGATCAAACATAATACCTCAAGTATTTAATATTAAAAAAAAAAAATCATCGCTCTTGTTGTAAAAAAATCTGTAATTTCAAATTGAAAAATTTAATATATTTTCACCATTAATATTGGTATTTATTTATACGCCCCCATTTAAAAAAATGTCAATTAAGTTGCTCACTATTACCAGTTTCTAATAGAAGTAGCAGAGTCTAAATATTTTATAAAGTCGTAGTAAATTTATGGATTTTCTTCTCCAGTCTGTTGCCTGATTTTAATACAGGCAATTCATTTTAGGAGTCTTATATATAGCATCTGTCGAACGTTATTTAATTAATATGCTATTTATCTGATGTCAATTGACTCGATTAAGTTTCACTTCGATTGGCTAGACTTTTAAAATAAATTATACGCGGAGAATAAAGTTAAAGGAGAAGTGGTGATTAATTTTTAGCAAAGGCAGGTCCAGCAATTTGGAAAATACAGAACTAAATCTACAAAAGCGGCAGTTTTTGAGAGAACTAATAATCCGATTTGAATGATTCAGAAAAACTTTCTGCTTGTGTTGACAAACCAATTGCTTTTGAAATATTTTAGTATTTTTTTCAAAAATCTTTTTTTTTTGTATTACGAAAATAATTCTGATTTTAACTTTAACCCTGTGTAAAGTTCTGAAGCTTACTTAGTTACTTTAAATAAATAATTTCAACTTTGCAAGTCATTTTATATAATCCTTATAAATATTACACAATGTATGCAGTATCTATAATAATCTATTTGAAAACATTCAGTATTCCTCGAACATTTCGTTACGGTACGGGAAGTTCCAGCAATTTGCCTTAAGGCACGATGCCATACGCAACTAATATTATCAAGTATTACCTACATTTTGCTATATTGCAAATATGCTGTACAAGTAAATAATTTTCCTATGCAACAAATTTTATAATTAATATTAAGTGCTAAGTTCAGAATTATGTTATGATCGATATTGGGGATGCTGCTTTATCACCTATGGATGTATGAGCTCTTCTTCTTCTTGGGTGTATATATATATATATATACTGATATGTATATATGTATATATATACAATATATAGTTATATATCCGCCAAGGATTGTCGTAATCCCGTTGCCATGCAATTAGCACTTAATCAGCTTACGGCACGAGTGTTTTCATTATACTGCGAAAATTAATTGTAATTCCTCGCGGACTCTTATACTACATCGAATACATCGACTACATCGAAACGAACACGAAATCTAAGAAGAAGAACAAGAACAAGAACTAAAATCTCTTATCAGGTGAAAATTTCAAAAAACTAAAAAAAATAGTTAAGATCGATTTATGCCAGATCGATTGATCTCTACAAGGAATTTTGATTTAAAATTTTACTCGAGCTAGTCGTGCCCAGTTTCGGTTTTGAAAATCCCATCAGTCGGCTTGACAACAAGCAGTAGTACAATCAGATTTTTCTTAAGATTATTGATCAGATCGATCGATAACTACATAGTATAAATAAGGAATTTTGAATCAATTTTCAACTGAAAATACCACAAAAAATTACCAGGTCACCCAAACAAATATTTAAAAGAATTAAACAAGGGATCTCCTACTCGAAGATTGAAAAATAAGTGGCCATACAATCTTAAATAAAATGTCAAAAAATAAAAAATAGAGATATCTCATAAGAGATAATCTTTTAAATGCATTTACACCCGGCATATTGTCTTAAAAAATGTATATTATTTTGATAGGCAATAAATCTATGCAAATACATATATATTTTTTAAATTTTCTACTTGCAATGGTCAAGATAAGAACTTGTTCTAGTCTCAATAATTTCCGGCTTTGATAATCAACCCGGGCCAGCTTGATATCAAGCAGTAGTGAGATGATATTGAGATTATAGATCTAAGATATAAAAACAAATGAAAATAGCCATTTGGAAGTATTGCAGCAAATAAAGCTCATCAGAATTAGATAAACTAGTGGTGCATGGCATTGCGCATTAAATCAATTTGCTAGAACTTGCCGTACCAGAATTAAATATTCGAGCAAATGATTAATTATCATTAAATATTGATCAATGATTAATAACAGATGTTTTAGAAATTTCCAAAGAGATAATTATAATTACTATATATTCATTTGATAATATAATATACAGTGACGATAGTATCGCTCAAAACACTTAAAAATGTTTACATTAAGAAGAGATGCCGAATGAATACATCTTAGAATAGATTATATATCTTACGATTACAATAACGCATATGAAATATATACAATTTGAAACTTAATTGTACATTTAAAATTTATATTTAAAATTTAAAACTTTACATACTTTTGAACATTTAAAAAAGCAGATATTCTGAAAATGTTGACATTTGTTTGAACCGTGTAAGTAGACTTCAAAAATTAAAAATCTCAGTACGGAATTCATAGAAATTGTAACAATATCAGTACTCATGTATAAAATATCTGATAATTTAATGGACATATGTCAAATGATTATTTTAGACTGCCAAATATGTTTTTTTTACAATTTTTTCATTTTATTTAAAATAAACAAAAAGCAAATAAACCCGAAAATCAATCTCTTATCTTTGTGATTATATATATTTGTTATTATACCTCTTATAAATTTGTAGTTTTAACAGTAATACGTAATATTACTGAAATATATTGGCCTTCTTATTCAAAATTTAGTTCAGGGCAAATGAACTTTAAGGGATTTTTAATAAGAATTGTAATAACTAAAAAAATAAAAAAATATGTTGAAATATCTTTGACAGACTTTCTATAAAAATCATGTTAATATCAAAGAAAGCTGATTAGGTTTATAGCACAAACAAAAAATGTATACAATAACGTATTTTCAAAACTTAGGCAGATTTCACTTTGCTTAGAGAATAATCATATAACTATCATTGTAGAATGTTTAATCACTGACCAGTTTTTAAAAAACAAACGTCATAAATATAGTTGTTTTTATAACTGTAAAATCTTAACATAACGTGCTGAATTTCAAAACTAAAAACGGTAAAATAATTTATCAATTTTTGTTCTCAAATAGCGTGTGACAATTACAAATTAATTATATACAGGCGCACACAACATTATACTAAGTTTGATACACTTATAAATGTAGATAGTTAAAACTATATTATTTACATATAAATATCAATATCATAATTTTCTATCATCATTTATATCTACTATACCACTCACCGCGTTACATATCTTACATCTCCATGGTTTCTTACAAAGACCAAAATCGAGGATACCATCAGAATCAGAAATTTGTGTATCGTTCTGATTGAAATGGATGTGGAATCATTAGATGTGCCTTCTGGACCTCCATGGGACCCCTGTTCTCTAAGGGGTCCTTGGTACCCACTATATAAACGGTTTTCGGATTGGCCTTCGTCTTCTTCATTTGAATTTTGGTCGGAGCTGGAATCTGTTTCTAGGTCGAGGCGGTCCAGGGCGCTTTTGGCTCTGTAGGGTAGTTCCATTTCTGGAAAAATAAAAAAAATACATGGGTTATAAAATATCCAATAAAACATATTTTAAGGGGGTTGTTCGTTTTTTTTTTCGATTTTGAGATTTTTTGATATTATAAAAGCTAAAAACCTTAGAATTATTTAAAAAAAAATCATCTCAATATCTATTATTTTGACGAAGTTATAGATTTAAATATCTCTATACGTATGATCCTCTGAAAACGTTTTTTTTATCGCTCTGCGAGCTATTGTATGCCAGCTGCTCTCATTTGCATTATAAAACGTCATGCACATGACCTTTTTAATGTGTCAGCATCTTTGAACACCACGGTATATTTCGTACATTAAATTAAATCGGGTATTTAGTACATTATATTAAAAACTTTAAATACGTTTTTCTCAAATTGACTTTTTTCAATACGGTGCCACAAATTAAAAAAAAAACTACAAGTCGGATCGACTTGCATTTTTTTTTAATTTGTTCACCACTGCAATACCTAGTCCCCCTACCTCAAACAACTTGATAACATTACGCAAAAAAAATTTGCGAAGCTTCTCGTCCCAAAAAAGGCCCTTTTTAACACTTTTTTTTAAATAGCTGCCATTTTTTTCCTTCTTGCTTTTTTTCTTTCATTTTGGTAGGGGGGCTGGATTCAAACTTCTTCTTCAACGTAGTTTCTTTTTTTTTTTGTTTCAGGCGATGCGCAACGGATTTATCTGTGGCACCGCAAAAGAGATCGATTTTGCAAGGCCGACTTTGGCGCTCCCTGGTTGAAAAATGACGGCGACAAAAAAAATTCTTAATATTCTATGATTTTGTAATTTTTGTTTAAAAAAAACCGCATGTCTCTATGATAAACACATTTCGAGAAAAATAAAAACAAATACCTTGAATTTTTTGTAACAAAAAAAAGAACAACCCCCTTAATGAAGTTTTATTACGGATAATATATTTTCTTCACGATGCGTTAAGAAGACAGAACTATTTTATTATAAATAAGTTAGTTTGGCAAGAGAGAACGACGTAGCTGCAACTACAATTTCGCTCTTTATGAGTTTATGTAAAGTAACGGCATAACGGCAGCGTCAGATAAATAATTACGCTAATGCCTGCCAACTATCCTCGTAATTGAACTTACAAGAGTTAACGGAGATGTTTACTTATGTACATTCCGGTGTTTATTCGGAGTAAATTTTGTTATGAAAAATAAAATAAAATCGTGAATAATATATGATTTTGAAAAATTATAATCAAATGCTAAGATAACTTCCCGTAGGGTAGTTATAGTAATGTGCCGAAAATCGAAAATAAATTTTTTTGCATATCTTCACGTTTTGAAGGTTTCTGAACATTCTGGCATACCTCAGAAAAAAATGATGTGTGTGTGTGTGTTTTGTATGTCCGCATTTTTTCGTCCACGTTTTCGGGCGTACGGATCAACCGTTTTGAATGGTTTAAAAGACATTCGATCCCTATTGATGTGGGAGATGTGCTGATTAGTTTTTGGCAAAGGCAAGTCCAGCCGTTACGGAGATACGGAGCACAGAGTGCAGAAAATACAAATCGGGTTTTTGAAGAAACGGAGTATCGGATTTGAATGATCCAAAAAACATTTAATTTGTAATGATTGGGAGGTGATTAGTTTTTGGCAAAGACAGGTCCCGCCATTTCGAAGATACAGAGCTAAATGTGCAAAAAACAGCAGTTTTTGAGTGAACTAAGCGTCCGATTTAAATGATCTAAAAAACTTTCTGCTTGTATTGACAAAACAATTGCTTTTGAAGATAAAAAATTATTACATTTTTTTTTATTTTCCATAAAATATTTTTGTAATTTTGGATTAAAAATTCAAAAAATTACCCAGGCTAAGCACAGTCTAAGCGCCACTCTGATACAAATGTATACCCAAGTGCGTTTAGACTGTTTATGCACTGGAGCACTTATCCAATTTTGTGAAAACTATTGAAAAATGTGAAAATGCCGCCAAGCTAAGCACAGTATAGGTGCAAATGTCGCACAGAATTATTTCAATTTTGTGTAAATTAGGCAACTATTTTTTTTTTTGAAATTGAATTCGAAATGAAATAACGATACTTTCTAAATTGATTCATGATTTACATTTGATTTGCTCAGATATAACAAGTTAGCAAAAATAATGAAAGTTGCAGTATTTGTAATAATATATTTGAAAACGTTTAAAATTTCTCGAATATTTCATTACGGTACGGGAAGTTCCAGAAATTTGTCTTAAGGCACGATGCCATAAACCACTAGTTTAGTTTAAGATTGAACATGAAAAAATATCTTGCGATGGTCATACTTTACGATGTAATGAACTTCATATAGATTTTTTTTTACTTTAATACAGATTTTAGTTTTTTAAGGTCTTTAAATTAGTATAATAAAAATTTCGTAGATTTTCGATTTAAAACTTGAGTTTGGTGAATCCTTATATCAAGCCTAAGTGTTATGAATTCCTACTTTAAAATAACTAGAAATGGAAGTGCAAATAAGCTTTCAAGTACAGAATAAGATCAATATGTTAAATAAAATAAAATATAAAGTATGTAAAATCAATATAATGCAGAATAATTAGAAAATAAAGGTATGCCTAATATAAAATGAATTTTCAAAAAACGCTGCAAAATATCAAATTAAATTTAATAAAATATAAAACTATAAAAATAAAAAAATATTAATATATTGGTGATGGTAGTTTCAAATAAATTAATAATATTTAACAAAATGGTTTACTGATTCTTTACTTCATTGAAAAGTATGATTAGTTCATAAACACTTTGTAAAATTGGAAAAAAAATTACAGTTTTCAACTAATTGCTAGTGTTAAGATGACATCAGCTATGTATTACAAAAGTAAGTTTTTTATTATCTTTTGAAATGCATTATTGAATAAGTTTGTTCATATACTAGGCAATAAAACAAAAAAATTTAGTATTGCACATTTTTGAGTTCAAATTTATTTTCGTATTATTATAAAATGAACTAATACAGATTACTTCAAGGAATTAATTTAAGAATTTTCTTAAACTATTGTTATTTAGTCTTTTTTTATTTGTAGAGGGATAAGTGACATTGCTCATTTCCAAACCAATTTTTACTGATATTTATGAAAAAATCAGAATACGGTACGTTTTTTCTAAAATTGTTTCTATAATTTTCTATATTAAAGATTTTAGAAATATCCTTTGTTTAAAATTGTTTGAAAATCTAGAAAGTTGTAGTTTGTATCCTGAATCTTAATTTAACTTTTAATATTTGAGGACAAGTTTGCTTAAGATCATTCTACTCTTTTATTCGGATATGACTGGTTTCTAAATACTTTTCTAAAATTGTAAATAAAAATTCTACAGATATCAAAATATCATCCCTTAAAAATCCTGAATAACAAAAAGTTAAATACAATAGGTTTTTATAGAAATTACGAGTATACTTTATATACAAAAAATATTTAAGAAACATTTTATATCAAAATTTATTATAAATGAATACTTTTTATACATTGCCAGAAATAATTGATTGATTGTTTAGGAATTATAATTAAAAATATGATGCAAACATAAAAATTGTGGAAAGTCTTATGAATACAAAACGTGAGTAAAGTTTCTATATTTTGTAGGAAACTATATATTTACTCTTATAGGGTGATGAACATAATATAAGTAATTTTATAGATTTCATAATAATATATGAATGAAACAAAAATTATAAAAATTAAAAGAAATATTCAGAATTTAATGACCATGTTACGACTAATTTCCACTCGCGAATTTCGAGATCTATATGAATTTTGCCGCCGGCGGCATCCGAGTCGAAAGGGTTAAAGATTATTTTAAGTTAAGTTTCTTATGGATAGTTTTACTATTTTTGTTCATTTCTAGTATTAGTATTATTAATGTCTTACCGTATAATCTGATGTTGCCTTCAGCATCTCCAATGGAATTTTTGGATATGCACTTGTATCCTCCAAGATCAGTTTTGTGAAACTTCTTGATTACCAATTTCATTTGAACACTATAGTAGGTACCACTACTTTCGCTCATCAAGTATTTGTCATTGGTAATTATCATCTCACCTGAAACAAGAGGAAAAAAAATAAAATTATAACTATTGGCATTGTATAATATTTATAAATATCTTCATAAATCTTCTAAAAATCATTCATTACAACAGTCTATGGATCTGCTGTCCATCGACCTTTTTTACAAGAATATTGTTCTGAAACTGCATTAAACCTCTAAAATATACTTTGCAATTTCCACTTAGCTCCCACTAACTTAATTCAATTTAACAATAATATAATTACTACCTTCTGGCGAGTTTTCAATATAAAAAAACAGTCTAAGAGATACGTATCTCTGTCTTTTGAACGAAGTCTGTCTGACTGCAAAAAACTTTTCTTTTGATTGCTTTAACGTATAAAAGAAATAAAAAAGTTTGTTTTATCTATCATCGTCATCTTACGTACAAATCGGCGGAGAAAGTTTTCTCTTTTTTTTCGTTCTCATAGAAATCGTTACGGTTTTCTTAATTTCGCTTATATTGAATCTGACTTCAGTTTTATTATAGAAGAAAAATGTACAATTGGAGATAATAATTGAGAGATCACAATTCTTTATTGTAATAAAATAGTTTAAAAGACATGAAATGTTTATTTGTATATTAAACTAGATGATCGAACAGACGTTGTCCTGTACCCATGTCTACAATTTTTTTAATATAATATACTAATATTTACTTTTTACCTAAAAATAATAATTATTGCTTTTTAAATTACTTTTCACGCCAAAATGCATATACATTCATAATATGAGCGATGTTAAATGTAGAACTGTTTTAAATGAAAGGATGAGTCTCAATTCCCACACTATATTGGAAATTGAAGTCTTTTTAAACGGTATAACATAACCATAACCATAACATAACACTGGTACTTCATGTCGGATTAAATTAATTTTAATATTTTATTATTTAAGATATCCAAAATTGCATCTTAAACTTTCCTAATCGATATCATGAGGGCCGAATTGTATATATTCATCTTTACTTTACCATAGTTGTTATAAATTGAAATTTTTACGAATTTCAATAATATTTTGGAAAGGTTTAGTAAAAGATGCAAAGAAATTAGAAATTATATATGAAAAAAACTAAAAATTTAATATCCGAATCTTGTGTTGGCGCCCCTAAGGCGTGCGCTCTTATTTTTCGCAAGCATCGCATTAAAGGTGCCTAAACCAGCCCTGATTAATACTTAATTCATATTTTAAGTGAATTAATTTGTCATATCCTGTTCATATTGTATCACTCAATCTGCCATACATATACTGATGTTTTATATTGCTTTTTTAGCAATAAATAGTAAACATTTAATTTTTCTTATTCATAATCATAAATTTATTATTATATTTAATATTGTCTAGTTCATAAGTAAATTGAAATTTTTGGCAGATGATAATTTTCATTTGTTGTCAATGTAACAGTGACATGTCGTTTTTTTGCATGTTTTTTTATTTATTCTCTGCAATATTGCACATACATCCAGTACTTATAATCACATATATCCTAAATAATATCCTTAACAAACCTTCAGAAAGATTTATCAAAATCCGAATAATCGTTTAGAGGAGTATACAGCGAGTGCTTGTAATTTAATATAAACTTTAATAGCAATAAAGCTCAAATTAATTCTACGTTTAGTTAGAAAACGTTTGTATGTGAAAAAGAATAGGGCTGTTTTTAGGGTTTTCCCAGGCAACTGTTCGATTTTTTCCCGCCGTAAGAACCATCCTTGAACTTTAATGAACATTTTAAAAAAAATTGGACAAATTGGTCGAGGCGTTGTTGAGTTATGCGCTTTCCAACACATTTTGCGATTCATTTTTAAATATAAGATTTGATAAAGAAAAGTTAATAAATTATTATCTCGGTTATTTCTTGAAAGTGCTTTAAAGTAAGTTTTTTCCCAAACTTTCTGGGTCCGTCAACTTTTGGCACAGTAAGTTATATCATTGAATAAGTGTGTAAGTATAAGGAAATGGTGGTTCGAGTGTTACAAATTTCTCCTTCTAGAGTAATATTAGGTGCAATAAAATGGGTTATGCGTTCTGGCATACACTAGATCATATCTGCAGAACGTGACTCGA